ACGTATGCACCACCGTGCCCCAGTTCGTTCGTTTTCTCTCTCTCTCTCTCTCTCTCTCTCTCTCTCTCTCAAGAAACTACATGCTGAATATATTTTCTTTTATGCTATTATGGAAAGTTCTGGAAATTATCATTTGCAGTGATAGAAATGTGAACTGAGGGCCTTGCCCATGTCAGGCAAGTGCTTAATCACTGAGATATACCCCAAACCTTCCCTAGAATTAGTAAAAAGCTTTCTAGATATTTTACTGTATATGGGGGAAAACAAAGGTTAAGCTGAAGGCCTAATTTAAAGTGACCCTACTAATAAATGGGGGGTGGGCTGGGGGGAAGAGGGGGAGAGTGGGGGGAGGGAGGACAGGGGAATCGTGGCTGATATGTAAAATTAAATTATAAAATAAAAAAATAAAATAAAATTAGGGGGAAAAAGTATCAAAACCAAACAAAAACAAAAACAAAAAAGCCCGGCGGCGGCGGCGGTGGTGGTGCATACCTTTAATCCCAGCACTTGGGAGGCAGAGGCAGGCCGATCTCCTTGAGTTCGAGGCCATCTGGTCTACAGCGCCAGTTCCTGGACAGGCAGGGCTACACAGAGAAACCCTGTCTTGAAAAACCAAAGAAAGAAAGAAAAGAACAGAAAAACCTAAAGTATCATCTCATATACTATGCCAGCTTCTTTGTGCACACGTGGGAAGACTGTTCCAATCTACCTTTGCTGCCTAATGCATTCCTGCAAACATGTACATAACAAATACCTAGAAAAGTCCAAATAGAAGTTTAGTGCTGCATGCCTGTAATTCCAACACTTGGGAAGCTAAGACAGGAGGATTTCTAATTTGAGGTCTGGGCTTCATAGTGAGTTCAAGGCCACCCTGAGATCCTGCTTTCAAAAAAGAAAGAGAAGAAGAGTACTCTTGAAGAGATGGCTCTGAGGTTAAGAACACTGTGTTTTTCCAGAGGCCCCTCCCGCATTCGGTGGCTCACAGCTGCCTGTAACTGTAGCTCCAGGGGAGCTGACCGCCTCCTCTGGTATCTATGTGCACTACACCCATATGCACATGCCTGTACAAAGATATACCCAAACTTTTAAAAATTCATTTACAAATACTAAAAACAAAAAGCTGGAGGCAGTCTTGCATACCCGAATACCAGCATTTACAAGGTAGAGGCAGACGGCCGGGAATACAAGGCAAATCTGTGCTACCCATCAAAGATTCTGTTTCAAAAGAAACAAACAAAAAAGTATAAAGTATAAACTCTCCTCCACCTCCTCACCTCAACTCCACCCCCAGCTTTGGAAGCAGCTACCCTACCTTGGTTGTCCTCATACCACAAGTCTCTTTTTCTTTTTTTGTTTCCTCTTTGGTGCAGTTACACCTCAGTGTTTCTTGGTTTGGTTTGTTTTTGTGATTTTTTTTAAAAACAGATTTACTTTTATGAGTGAATACCTGCATACATGTACATCACATGCATACAGTGCCCACTACCATGTGGGTGCTAGGAACTGAATCAGGGTTCCCATTCAAGAGCAGTCAGTGTTCTTAACTACTGAGCATTTCTCCAGCACCTGTATGTGTACACTCGGGAAGCAGAGACAGATGGATCTCTGTGAGTTCGAGGCCAGCCTGGTCTACAGAGCGAGTTCCAGGACAGCCAGGGCTACACAGAGAAACTCTGTCTTGAAAAACAAAACAAAACAAAACAAATGTGTGTATGTTTTGGCTTTGTTTTTATTTTTAATTTATGTATATATTTTTTAGGTATGAGTGCTCCATCTGCATGTATCCCTACACACCAGCAGAGGGCGCCAGATCTCATTATAGATGGCTGTGAGCCCCCATGTGGTTACTGGGAATTGAACTCAGGCCCTCTGGAAGAGCAGCCAGCACTCTTAACCACTGAGCCATCTCTTCAGACCCTCCCTCCCCTTTTTTTTTAAGATCTTAATTGGCTTTAATATTTTCAGTCCTAGAATAAGTGTATTCCATTTTTTAACTTTTTAATTCATTTTTTATTAATTTTTTTTTCTTTTCTTTTACATACCAACCCCTGTTCTGCCTCCCTCCCCTTCTCCCACTCCTCCCATCTACCCTCATCCCACCCCCAGCCCCTCCTCAGAGAGGGTAAGGCCTCCCTTGGGTAGTCAACACAGGCTGGCACACCAAGTTGGGGCAGGGCCTAGCCCCTCCTCCTTCCATCAAGGCTGAGCAAGGAATCACACCATAGTGAACGGGCTCTAAAAAGCCAGTTCGTGTACCCAGGGTAAGTCCTGGTCCCATTGCCAGGGGACCCACAAACACATCAAGCCATGCAACTTTCACCCACATTCAGAGGGCTTAGTTCGGTCCCATGCAAGTCCCCAGCTGTCAGTCCAGAGTCCATGAGCTCCCACTATCTTGGGTCATCTCTCTGTGGTTTTTCCCACCATGATTCTGACTCCCCTTGCTCTTATAATCCATCCTCCCTCTATTCAACTGAACTTGAGGATCTTGGCCCAGTGCTTGGCTGTGGGTCTCTGCATCTGCTTCCATCAGTCACTGGATGAAGGTTCTATGATGACAATTAGGGTAGTCACCAATCCGAGTACAGGTGAAGGCTAGTTCAAGCATCCTCTCCACCATTGCTATGAGTCTTAGCTGGGGACAATCTTGTGAGTTCCTGGGTTTTCCTTATCTGCAGATTTTTCCCCATCCCTTTAATGGTACACTCTGTCAAGGTATCTCTTTCATTGCTCTCCCTCCCCGTCTCTCCCCCAACTAGGCCATCTTGAGCCCTCATGTTCCCACCTCTTACCCCCTCCCCTCTACTCCCTCCTCCAAGTTTATCCAAGAGATCTTAACCCTTTCCCCTTCCTGGGGCGATCCATGTGTGCCCCTCTTAGTGTCCTCCTCTTTACCTTTAGCTTCTCTGAGGTTGTGGACTGTAGCCTGGTTATCCTTTGCTTTGCATCTAATATTCACTTATGAGTGAGTACATACCGTGTCTGTCTTTCTGGGTCTGGGTTACCTCACTCAGGATAATATTTTCTAGTTCCATCCATTTGCCTACAAATTTCATGATGACATTGTTTTTTTTACCACTGCATAATATTCCACTGTGTAAATGTACCACATTTTCTTTATTCATTCTTCGGTTGAAGGGCATCTAGGTTGTTTCCAGGTTCTGGCTATTATGAATAATGCTGCTATGAACATAGTCGAACAGGTATCCTTGTGGTATGACTGACCATCCTTTGGGTATATGCCCAGGAGTAGTATTGTTGGGTCTTGAGATAGGTTGATTTTCAATTTTCTGAGATCTGCCATACTGATTTCCAGAGTGGCTGTACAAGATTGCACTCCCACCAGCAGTGGAGGAGTGTTCCCCTTTCTCCACATCCTCTCCAACATAAGCTGTCATCTGTGTTTTTGATCTTAAGCCATTCTGACAGGCATAAGATGGTATCTCAGAGCTGTTTGATTTGTATTTCCCTGATGGCTAAGGATGTTGAACATTTCCTTAAATGTCTTTTGGCTATTTGAGAATCTTCTGTTGAGAATTCTCTGTTTAGCTCTGTAATTTTTTTTTATTCATTTTACACACCAACCACAGATCCCCCTCTTCCCTCTTCCCACTCCCCCTTCTTGTTTGGTTTTGAGACAGGGTTTCTCTGGGTAGCCCAGGGTGTCCTAGAACTCACTCTGCAGACCAGGCTGGCCTCAAACTCAGAGATCCGACTGCCTCTGCTTCCCAAGTGCTGAGATTAAAGGTGTACGCCACCACTGTCTGGCCTAATTTTTTTTTTTTAAAGATCCCCTTTAAAGTTAGGCATGGCAGCACATACCTGTCATCCCAACACTGAGAAGGCTAAAGCAGAAGGATAGTTAAACTGAAGTCCAACCTGGGCTACGTAACAAAACCTTGCTGAAAGAGAGAGAGAAAGAGACTTCTTTTTCTTTTCCACCCAAGACAGAGTTTCTCTGTGTAGCCCTAGCTGTTCTAGAACTCACTCTATATACCAGGCTTGCCTTGGAACTCAGAGATCTGCCTGCCTCTGCCTCCCAAGTGCTGGGACTGAAGACATGTGCCACCACTGCCCAGGTTGAAAGAAAAACTTGTTAAATTGTATCTCTTAGGGCTAGCATATAGCATAGCTCAGTGGCAGATGATCTGTGCAGCATGAGAAAGGTCCCAGGTTTGACTTTGGACATTGCAAAAGCATCTTGGTCAACTTTCCTTTCTAATTGATTGTGATCCTCTGAACTCCCAGGCCACTCCACACGTCTTAGTCCTCACTATGTAAGGATTCCATACTATATACACGCACTTTTGTTTTACAACTAGACGGCAAGCCTCATGCTGGCGAGGACCTTGTACTCGATTCTTCTAACACGTTCACGACACATCATCATGGCAGCAGTGGACAGACACTTGTGATAGACTCAGTGTAATAAACTGCCAATCCAGGAACATTTTAGAGCTTAGAGTAGGAATATCTTTTGGAGGTGCCTTGCTTAGTCTCTGAGTCAACACTGTATTTGAGAAACATGCATTTGGGCCCTGTGCTAAATAGTGTGGACAGAGAAGACGAGGGAGCCATGTAACTAACTCACCCTCAGAGAGCTCACACTGTAAAGACAGAGAGGGACACCAGGAAACAGCTGCTGTAGTAAGAAGTGAGTGACAACTTGACATGGTGTGTACATCTGTAATCCTAGTAATTGGGAAGAAAAGGTAGGAAAATCAGGTGTTCAAGGCTACCCTTTACAACATAGTAAGTTTGAGGTAAGCCTGGGGCTACATGAGACTGTCTCAAAAATTACAAAAACTAAAACTAAAACTAACTAAATAAAACAAAAAGCCCTAAGATGGCAGAGGGAGTACCTATTCCTGGGACGAAAACTCGAACACGCTGACTGATGCCAGTGCTCATGCTGTACTAAACTCCTGCACAGTTCTTATCCCCATCCTTTCAATCTCCCAATAATACATTTCAGAGCAGCCACATCTCCAGCTACTTACCCCTGTTGCACAGGCTGCAGTTGCAAGATCACTTGGGTTTTAGTGTCTTCAGGGTTCTCGCCTTCGTTTCCTGCAGTGGGTACCACAACCACATCTCCTACCGGGACACTCACTTCTGCATTAGCCATCTTTCACATGAAGTCAGCTGGCCGGGACTGCTATGAGGAACAAGCAGTGTGATTACTTTGTCTTTGAAAGAAAGGGATGCTGAGATAACCAACAGTTCTGAGCGCCCCGGCATCACCATCCTCTGTAAAGAATGAGGACTGAGAGGGAGCTGACAGAAGCCGACACAGGCTCTTAGTATGCTTTCATAGTACATGTGACTCACCCAGCGGTTTGCCAGAGCCAACTCCACCAGTCTCTCAGACCTGATTGTGCATCTCCTCTCCTCTTAAGTTTAGAGACATCAAATTGGTAGCTTGGGATCACAGAACTGAGATTACACACAGCACTGAGATTAACAGCACTAGATTTAAGGTTTTTCTGTTGTTTCAGGTTTTTCTTTTGTTTTTAAGACATAGTCTCACAAAGAAATGCTGTCTGACCTGGAACTCAATATGTAGACCAGGCTGGCCTCAAACTCAAAGATGAGCCTGCCTCTGTCTCCTGCTTCTGAGATCAAAAGCCTCTGTTTTCTTTTTGAGAAGGGAATATTAATAAGTAGTCCAGGCTGGCTTCAGCTTGCTGATCTGCCTACCTCTGCCTCCCAAGTGCTGGCATTACGAGCATGCACCACATCTGGCTTGCTTTTTCTGTGGATCAATTTACAACATAGACTAGTTCCATCCCAAAGAGTGGGCCCTGAAAAGTATGAATTGTACCTATTTTAAGACCAAGTAACCATTACATATCAACTATATGACACTGCATACAGTACTATCCTTTATATTCAGTATCTGAGTGTCAGCTGCATAGCTGTTAATAAATGTTGAATTCACGCCGGGCGGTGGTGGCGCACGCCTTTAATCCCAGCACTCGGGAGGCAGAGCCAGGCGGATCTCTGTGAGTTCGAGGCCAGCCTGGGCTACCAAGTGAGTTCCAGGAAAAGGCGCAAAGCTACACAGAGAAACCCTGTCTCGAAAAACCAAAAAAAAAAAAAATAAAAAAAAAATAAATGTTGAATTCACTGTATAATCTCTAAGAACCTTGCCTTCCTTCCTTCCTTCTTCCCTCCCTTCCTTCCTTTCTCTCTTTCTTAGACAAGGTTTCTCTGTGTAGCCCTGGCTGTCCTGGAACTTGCTCTGTAGACCAGGCTGGCCTCAAACTCAGAGATCCTGTTGCTGGGATTAAAGACATAGACTACACCAAGAGGCCAAGACTAGGTCTCATTCTGAAGCCCAGCCTAGTCTCAAACTCAAAGCAATCCTTCTGCCTCAGCTTCAATGTGCTGGAATTACAGGCCGTGAGTCACCAAGCCTGGCTCTAAGAACTTTATGTTCTTGTTTTATTTTTAGAGACGAGTCTCAAATGGCTGACTTGGAACTTGCTATGGAGCTGAGAATGACCTTGAACTCCTGATCTTCCTGCTTCCACTGGGAGTGCTGGGACTAAGGTGTGTCCCTCCAGGAGGGTCACAGGAACATCTCAGCTCCTCAGTGTGAATGGGGATGACCCTGCCTGACAGCTCCTTGCAGAGCTACTGAGGAAACTATCAGCAAGTACCACGTGCTCCTCCAATCTAAAGTACTAACCCACTCTTTTTATTATTGTTGTTGTTTGTATGTTTGTGCACATGCCACAGCACACATGTAGAAGTCAGAGGACAACTTTCAGGAGTCAGTTCTGTCCCTCTGCCACGAGATTCGGGTATCAAAATCAGGTCATCAGGCTTGCATGGCAAGCACTTGTCCCTGTTGTCCCAATCTTTATGAAAACACAGAGGGTCTCAGGATATCCTGCTGCTGTTAGCCTTTAGCGTTCAGGAGAATTGATTTTTTCAGTGCTAGGGACCCAACTCAAAGCCTCGTGCATGGTGGGGAAGTGCTCTAACACTCGAGCTCACCCTGAGCTATGTCTGCAATCCTTTACATGTTACAGCTGAAAAGCATGGGGGGCCAGGTGCTGTGATTCACATCATTATCCCAACACTTGGGAGGCTGAAGCAGGAAGATTATGGCGCATTTGAATGAATACAGCTTGAGCTACATAAATTGAAGGCCAGCCTGTCTTTAAAAAAAAAAAAAGTTACTGTAGAGAATACAAGAAAAAAACACTGAATTTACTAAATGAATATATGTGAACATGTGAAGGTGGGCAGGGGACAGCCGTGTTGATTACAGATGCATACTGGAATATGTAACTGGTAGCCAGAGACTCAAGTCACTCCTCAGCTCTGCCAATCTTGAAAACACACATACGTGGGCTAAAAAGATGGCTCAGAGGTTAAGAGCACTGGCTCCTCTTCAAGAGGTCCTGAGTTCAATTCCCAGCAACTACATGGTGGCTCACAACCATCTGTAATGAGATCTGGTGTCCTCTTCTGGCCTGCAGGCATACATGCAAGCAGAACAGTTTACATAATTGGTGTTTTTTTTTTTTTTTTTTTTTTTTTTGGTTTTTCGAGACAGGGTTTCTCTGTGTAGCTTTGCGCCTTTCCTGGATCTCACTCTGTAGACCAGGCTGGCCTCGAACTCACAGAGATCCGCCTGGCTCGGCCTCCCGAGTGCTGGGATTAAAGGCGTGCGCCACCACCGCCCGGCCATAATTGGTGTTTTTGAGACAGGGTTTCTCTGTGTAGTTTTGGTACCTGTCCTGGATCTCACTCTGTAGACCAGGCTGGCCTAGAACTCACAGAGATCCGCCTGCCTCTGCCTACAAGTGCTGCGATCAAAGGCGTGTGCCACCACCTCCCAGCCTAAATAAATCATTTTAAAAAAAAAATGAAAATATACATACATAACGTGGAGCTCAAAGTAGACCTCACTGGCCTCGGAATACTCCAGTTTAGCTACAGCATTACTCCCCTACCATATCAGCCACTCACAGTACTCTCAACACTTACCAATATGCTTCCAGAGCTCCCAGCCGTTCTAGGCTCTAAGCTCTAAGCTCCTTCGTCCCTAATGTTCACTCCTCCATGAAGCCATCACTACACTTGCTTTTCAGAATGTTCCCCTAAATGTGGCCTGTCACTCCCTCCTGGTCTTTACACACTGCCCTTCACTGCAGCTCCCCATGTAGACCTTGACAGCCACAGCTACCCTGCATCCTCTTGTGTATTTGTTCTGTTGCTTCTGGGGATGGAAGACAGGGCTGTGCACACATCAGCAAGTGTTTCACAACTGAACTATAATCCACAGCTCCTGGTTCCTTCATTCCTTCCTCTCTTGGTTTGTTTTTTGTTTTTGTTTTGTTTCCCTCTCTTGGTTTTTTTGAAATAGAGTTTCTGTGTAGCCCTGGCTGTCTTGTACTTCGATCTGTAAAACAGAACCTAAGAAATGCCCCTGCCTCTGACTCCCAAGTGCTGGGATTAAAGGCGTGTACCACCACTGCCCTGCACTTAGGCACTATTTTATCTAAACATCTTTGTGCCCCCATCACTCTCATCAACTCTGATATGTTGATTCAATCACTTTTGCATGTATATATGACCTAGTCAAATTTCTTCATATCTGGCTTTTTAATTTCATTCAATTTTTTTTATGAATTCTATATCCCTGTATTTATCAGTCTCTACTACATTAAACTGAACCATATTTCCTCAAACCTGCTCCTAGATTTCCTGTTTCCCTAAGTGATGCTATCTTCCACCCGTTTTCAAAAAGAGGGAACTCAGAAGTTATTTTTGCCTCCTCTTTCTAAATCCAATCAGCCACAAAATCCTATCCAGTCTACCAGGTGTGTGTGTGTGTGTGTGTGTGTGTGTGTGTGTGTGTGTGTGTGTTCCTCATATACTCCATCTGTGCTGTCAAAATATATGTGGGCTGCCACACTGTTACCTGGGTTTTTTCAGCTACTTTCCCATATCCTAACCTTTGGTCTTGGATTCCTCCAATTCATTCCCCACATAGCAACCAAAATGATCCTACTAAAGGCCACAGGCCACTTTCCCACTTAAAAATGTCTTACTAGGCCGGGCGGTGGTGGCGCACGCCTTTAATCCCAGCACTCGGGAGGCCGAGGCAGGCGGATCTCTGTGAGTTCGAGGCCAGCCTGGTCTACAGAGCGAGATCCAGGAAAGGCGCAAAGCTACACAGAGAAACCCTGTCTCGAAAAACCAAAAAAAAAAAAAAAAAAAAATGTCTTACTGTATTCCTGTTGCTGTGAAAATAAAGTGCAAGCACTTTAGCATGGCCTCCAAAGCTTCCAGGTCAGCCCCCTTCCTCCCGGCTGGCACACTGTCACTGTTCTCCAGTTCTCAAATGTACAGCCTTTCCTAGACTGAGCCTTTAAACTTGCTTCCTGTCCCTAGGATTCTTCCCTTCCTTTTGGGCTAGTCTCTGTTAACCCTCTGAAGCATCATTCTTCGGAAAGGTCTTCCGGTGACTTCCATCACTAGGTTTCAGCTTATGCTCTAGTTTCCCATCATGCGTTTTTCTTTTTCTTTCTTTCTTTCCTTTTTCATCATGCGTTTTTCTTTCTTTTTTTTTTAAAGATTTATTTATTTATTGTATATATAGTGCTCTGTTTACAAATATACCTGCAGGCCAGAAGAGGGTGTCATATCTCATTACAGATGGTTGTGAGCCACCATGTGGTTGCTGGGAATTGAACTCAGGACCTCTGGAAGAACAGCCAGTGCTCTTAACCGCTGAGCCATCTCTCCAGCCCTCTTTCTTTCTTTTTTTTTGGGTGTGGGGAGGGGGACTGTTGAGGATTGATGTGAAGGCTCTTCTGCATAGCTTCAAGTTCAGGCTGTTTTGTTCCCACAGGTATGGTTCTGCTGTGTTGACCAGGCTGGTATCCAACTCCTGGGTCAAAGAGAGCCTACTACCACAGCATCCAGAGTAGTTGGAATTATACGTTACTAATTTTGGGGGTTACTTGTAGTGGCCTTGAAAATCACTATGTCACTAAGGATGATCTTTTTGTTTGTTTGTTTGTTTATTGAGACAGGGCTTCTCTGTGTAGCCCTGGCTATCCTGGAACTCAATTTGTAGACCAGGTTGGCCTCGAATTCAAGAGATCTGCCTGCCTTGGCCTTCTGGGTTTAAAGGCATGTGCCACTTCTTCCTAGCTTAAGGATGATCTTGAACTCCTGATCCTCCTGCCTCCACTTCCCAGATGTTATTACAAATGTAAGCCACTGTGCCCAGCTTTGCAGTACAATTTAATAAGAAATCCTGCCAGCGGTGGTGGCACACACTTTTAGTCCCAGCATTCAGGAGGCAGAGGCAGGCAGATCTCTACAGAGCCAGTTCCAGGACAGGCAGAGATACAACAGAAAAACCCTGTCTCAAACAAAACAAAACAAAAAGAAATCCTGAGTTTGTTGCATGCTGAAATAGTAGCCTCTTGAAAGTTTGAAGTAGGGCTAGAGAGATGTATCATCAGGTAAGAGCCCTTGTTGATCTTATAGAGGACCCAGGTTGGATTCCCAGCACCCACATAGGGGCTCACAACCACCTTAACTTCAGTTCCAAGGGGTCTGATGCACTCCTGACCTCCCTAGGCACACATGTGGTACATATGCATACATGTAGGCAAAACACTAATATTCATTAAAAAAAAAAAAAGCAAAAATATCTTTTTATTTTGTCTTGGTTTTTTTTGAGACAGGGTCTCACTATATAGCTTTTGCTAGCTTGAAATTCACTATATCAGGTTGGAGTAAACTAAAGTAAATCACCCCCATCCCCTACACACAGGGTTTCTCTATGTAGCTATGGCTGTCCTGGAGCTATGTAGACCAGGTTAGCTTCAAACTCAGAGATCCACCTGCCTTTGCCTCCCTAGTGCTGGGATTAAATGCATGTACCACCACACCCGTCTAAGAAAGTAAACCTTACAAAACGAAACAAAACAAAACATGTTTTTAGTAACAGAGAAGAGAGTCCACACCAACATGGTGATTCATAATTCTTTAGTAAATGAAGTTTAGGTTCAATATCTCTCATTATCTTAAATATCACATTTTTCTAGTGAGTAACCCCAAACCAACTACAAACAGCAGACTACAGCAAAGTCATCTCTGTAAGCTGTGTACACAGAAAACTGCCCCTTGTTTATAACAACACAAACTCCTGAGACAAGGTGAGGGAGCTGGTCCCATGGGTGCTTCACAGAAGAGACCTTGCAATATCCCTTGTGAAATCAGTGTGTGCTCTGTAACTCTATGAGAACATACAAAACATGACAAAATTTTGTTAAAACTTAGTCAACTGATGTGGAAAGAAGTATTGCAAAGGGAGTACAGCTCAGGGCAGAGGCTTGGCATGAATGTGAGTTCAACCTGCAAAAAAAGAGCTTCTCTACTTTTGTTGCCCTTGCTTTGGGGTTTTGGAGACAGGGTTTCATGCAGTCAAGGCTGGCCTCAAACTCACTATGTAGCAGAGGATGACCCAAGCTCAGGAATTGCATGCAAGAATCCCACACTCAGTTACTTGGGGGTTCTTGTTTCTTTTGAGACAAGAGATAGTTAAGACTGGACTTGAATTTTCAATCCTCCTGGTTCAGCCTACAGAAAGCTGCGTTTCTAGACAGGTGCTAATGGGCGGCTGCTCTGTAGTTATTTTCAAGAAAAAAAAAAAAAAAAACTCTTGAAAGGTGCTTGCGCTGCAGGCCTGGTTACCTGAGTTACATCTCTAGACCTCATTCATATAAAAGTAAAGGAGACCCAATTCCATAAAGTCCCCTACCTCCATCCACATGCACACCGTCGTGGTACATGCACCCTCCTAACATCATGCACACAGAATAAATTTAAAAATTTCAAAGTGAGCATGAAGCCAGGCATAGTGGGAAAGTCTGTAAACCAGCACTTGGGGAGCAGAAGGGTCAGGGGTTCAAGGTCTCCCTCAGTTACATAAGAAGGTTGAGACTTTATGAAACCTTTGTCCCAAAGAAAGGAGGAGTGGTGCCTGGTGGGATGGGTGCTGGTGAGACGGCTCAGCAGGTCAAAGCGCTTGTGGTCAAACACGGAAACCTGAGTTTCATCTTCAGGGTACACATGGTGGAAGGACAGAATCAAATCCTGGGTTGTCCTCTGACCTCCACAAGGACTTGGTGGTACACAGATCCTGCCACACACATATAGACTTTTTTTTTTTTTTTGAGACGGGGCTCACTATGTAGCTCTGGCTGTGGAACTTACTCAGTAGACCAGGCTGGCCTCAAATGCAAAGACTTGCCTGCCTCTGCCTCCCAAGTGCTGGGATTAAAGGCATCAACCACCACCACCTGGCTTTTATTTTTTTGCGAGGGTCTCATTATATAGTCCTGGCTGTCCTCGAACTCACAGAAATCCACCTGCCTCTGCCTCCCTAACAATGCCAGGCTGTTGTGTTATGTTTTTTGACACTGGGGCTCACTGTATCCCATGTTAGCTTTGAACTCACTATGTAGCCCAGGCTGGCCTTGAGCTTTTGGCAATCCTGTCTCAGATGCTCAGGTGCTTGAATCATAGGTGAGGTCATACCAGGTTTTTGTGCTTTTCTTTACTTCCTTGCCATCTCACCTTGTAGCCCTGGTTTGTCTGGAACTCGCTAGGTAGCCCAGAGATACACAGAGAAACCCTGTCTAGAAAGAAAAAAAGAAAAGAAGGAAAAGAAAAAAAAATGAACATATCCGCCTGCTCTGCCTCCTGGTGCTGGGATTAAAGGTGTACACCTTCACTGCTGGACGGAAAAAAAACAAACGAAACTCAAAACAAAACAAAAATCTCCCAAGATGCAACTTTATTATTTAAGAAAAAACTTAAATTAAATCCACCCCTTTGTTATGAACTTAATAGTTGAGCCAGAGTGACCTCAGGTATAACGAACCCAAGGATTACAGAGAACCACTTTGCAGGAAGTATCCAGAGGAAATGAAGTTCTATATAAATCAGATTGGAGACTTCTATGTAGGTGTTTGGAGGAATCAATGGATATGATTTTTAAAGTCATCTCTCAAGAGTTTAAGGAACCAAAAAACAGGGCCCAAACTAACCCAAAGACACGCAGGGGGACGCAGCTAATCAATGGACTTGATCAAGTACAGATGAAAAACAAGTTATTATTAAGTCTGAAAAATTAACAGCAGGCCCAAGCCCTCGTGAAAACGTTCCCTAATACTAGCTAAGGCAATGGGAAGTCTCCAGACATGGAGGAAACCCCCACTTCCTGGTTCTCTTTGACACTGTGACAAGTCTCGCTTTGAGTTTCCCTGCTCCTTGGACAGCCAAGCCTTCCTTCCTCCGATTCCTAGGTCAAGACCCTCGGGTAAGATTCTGCCCTCATTCCTCTTACCTCTCAATTAAAGGACACCTGGCCAATTCCTCTGTCATTTCTGAAAACAAGGGGTTCCCTATCCCCGTAATTATCTTCTCACCACCCCTCATAACCATAGGCTTTCCCCATCTCCCGGAGCAGAGGACCACCCTGCTCTGCACCTTAGCCAGCGGAGGTACTCATCCATTCTGCGGCCCTCGGGTGGAACCCCTCTCCTTCCCACTGCTCGTCTTTGGGAAGGGCGCTCCTTCCTCCCCCTGGTCCTCGAAAGGACCTGCCTCCCTCCCTCTCCGCAGGTCCGGCGGCCGAGGCCTCTTCCCTCGCTCGGGCCCCGGCTGGCCCCTCACTCCCCACACTCAGCACACACCCCCCCCCCGCCCCAGCACGCCGTCCCCCCCTTCCCCTGGGCGCGACCCAGGCCTGATCCAGCGGCTCCGCCGAAGGCCCGAGCTCCCAGACCCCCGCCTTTGGGGGGGGGGTACCCCGGCTCCCCCGGCCCCTCCGCGGGGACTTCCGGGCTCCTCGGTCCGGGGGCGCCGAGCCTTCCCCCCACCCCACCCCACCCCACCCCACCCCCGCCCGGCACGCGGCTCGAGGGGCCGGGAGCCCAGGCCCTGCCGGCCACGCTGGGGGCGGCCCGGCTGCTCGGGCGGACCCAGCGGCAGCGTCCCCCCACCCCCCCCGCGGCGCCGCGACGTCCGCTCGCTCCCCGGCGGCGGCGGCGGCACGCACAGGGCGTGGGGAGGCGCCCGCGGAGGCAGCAGCCCCCCGCCCCCTGCGCGCCCGCCCGCCCGCCCTCGCCGGCCGCCGCGCGGCCCCCGCGCCCGCCCCCCCCCCTCCGCCCCCAGCCCTCGCCGCGCCCGCGCCGCGCGCCCACCCCTCCCCCTCCTCACCGTCTCCGTCGGGCGGGCGGGCGGCGAGCGGCCAGGGCGGGCGGGCGACGGAGCATGCGCACAAGCCGCCACGGCTACCGCCGCCACCGCCGCCGCCGAGCCGGGCTCCTACACTTCCGGCCGCCGCGGCAGCTGTGCTGGCGCCTTAAAGGGGACGCGTCCCTATTGTGGGCCGCCGGGAGGGTGCACCACCTCAGCCAAGCGATTGGGGCGGTTCGTGAGCTTAGGCCTTCGGCTGTTGGAAGGCAGTGTTGGAGGGATCGCGGGAGACCCCTGGGACTGAATAAGGCCTAGATGCAGAGGTCACCTCGTCTTGACTCTTGTGGAAGGCTAGGGTTTTTCTCTCCCCAAATCCTGTTTATTGACAATTACAGTTTATCGGGGTTTCAGGTTACCAATGTGAAATCAAAATAGGTGGCTGAGCATAGATCAGTAACCCCGTCCTGCGTTTGAACCATGGCTCTTGGCCCAGGCTTTCCTGCTTGTGCGGGTTCTGGGTTCAAGTTTGGACCTACTTGGAACATGTACAACTGTAGAATGACTTGACAACTCTAAGCCTGTATTTTTCTCAAAAGGTATATATCGCACGTGTTCAATGAAATGATACTTGAAAAGTACTTAGGAAAGTTCTTGAGGCCAGTAGTATTAACTGACAAGCATTTAGACAATGTGGTCAGGCCTTGGGGAAGATGCTTTGGGTTTATAATCCTCACAACAACCCTACTCTTTACCTTTCATTCTCGTCTTAAATATTAAATATAAGCATTTGGGCATGGTGGTGCATGCCTTTGATCCCAGAACTCTGAGGCCGAAGTAAGAAGAGTTCCTGGCCAGTCTAGTCTACATAGTGAGTTCTAAGCCAGCCAACGCTACCTAGAGGGACCCTGGCTCAAAAAAGCAAGCAAAAAGAACAGATGAAACAGATCTGTGGTAGAATACATGCGGAACCTGGATTCCTTCTACAGTATGGGGGGGGGGAGTGTCAGGCTGTAAGTTTTTTTTTGAAGAGCGAGAATTGAATTGTTTCTCCATCTTGCTTCTTATACATTGTATCTGTCTTCTTTCCTTTAAGAAAAAACGTGGGGGGTGGAGGGCTGGTGGAGATGGCTCATCCGGTACAGGCTGCTGAAGACCTGAGTTCCATCACTCCAACCCACAGTGATGGAAGGAGATGCAGCAGACACACTCTAAATAAATATAACTTTTAAAACGATATGTAAGTATGTGTGATGGCTATTCTTGGTTGTCAACTTGACTGTAACTGGAATGGGTTATATTCCAGAATTGGAGGGCACACTTGTGATCCGGATGTTGAGGCAGGAAGACTCATTTTTTTTTGTTTTGTTTTGTTTTGTTTTTTGAGACAGGGTTTCTCTGTGTAGCCCTGGCTGCCGTGGAGCTCACTCTGTAGACCATGCTGGCCTCGAACTCACAGAGATCCTCCTGCCTCTGCCTCCTGAGTGCCAAGTGCTGAGGTCAAAGTCATGCTTGGTGGCACAGGACTTTAATCCCAACACTCGGGAGGCAGACTCAGTTGTATCTCTGTGAGTTCGAGGCCAGCCTGGTCTACAAAGTGAGATCCAGGACAGGCACCAAAGCTACAGAGAAACCCTGTCTTGAAAAACAAAAAAAGAGCCGGGCGGTGGTGGCGCACGCCTTTAATCCCAGCACTCGGGAGGCAGAGGCAGGCAGATCTCTGTGAGTTCGAGGCCAGCCTGGACTACCAAGTGAGTTCCAGGAAAGGCGCAAAACTACACAGAGAAACCCTGTCTCGAAAAAAAAAAAAAAAAAAAAAAAGAAAGAAAGAAAGAAAAAAAAAGGCATGTGTCACCACCACTCGGCTAAACATACCCTTTTGATCAGGATCTTGAGGCAGGATGACACAGGCTTTTAATCCAGATCCTGAGCTGGGAAGATACATTTTAAATCTGGGCCACACCTGCTGGACAACGGAAGAAGGAAGGGTTCATTCATTCTCCTGCTTGCCCTGGCCTTGTCAGCACATCCATTCCATCACTGGCATTGGAGCCTGCTTCTTCAGGATCCCAGCACATACAGAAGACCAGCTGAGACACCCAACCTCGTGGGATGGAGAAACTACTAGATTCTTGGACTTCCCATTCACAGCTAGCCATTGTTGGACTGCAGCCTGGAAGTCATTCCAATATTCCAATAAATTCTCTCTCTCTCTCTCCCTTCCCCTCTCCCTCTCTCTCTGTCACACACACACACACACACACACACACACACACACACACAGATTTATTCCATAAGTTCTGTGACTCTAGAGAACCTGACTAATACAGTATATGAGGGGGTTTTAACAGGGTTTTTATTTGAGAGCAAGCAGGAAAGGCTAGGAATCACTGGGGGCTGGAGAGATGGCTCAGCAATTCAGGGTATATATTGTACGTGCAAAGGACTCATGTGGGCTGGCTCATGATCACCTGTAACTCTATCTCTAGGGGATCCAACCCCTATTGTGGTCTCTAGTGACACTGCATTCACATGAACAAATAGATACAGTTAAAAATAAATAAAAATTTGACCTCCCCCTCCCCCAAGGACAGGAATTAAACAGTAGAACTGGGTTGGGGGGAGGAGGGAGGAGACTACCAGAATTCCAGGTTTGGTGTTAGCTGCTCTGGATCAAGGTCAAGTCACACCTCCCTTAACTCTGCTGTCTTCACCTATAAAACGGTTGTCCCACTGTGCTCAAGTCTGTCACCGGGGCCCAATAAGAAGATTCAGTACGCCAGGCGGTGGCGCACGCCTATAATCCCAGCACTTGGGAGGCAGAGCCAGGCGGATCTCTGTGAGTTCGAGGCCAGTGTGGTCTACAGAGCTAGTCCAGGACAGGCTCCAAAGCTACAGAGAAACCCTGTCTCAGCAGAAAACCAAAAAAAAAAAAAAAAAAGATTCAGTACTATGTTAAGTCTGTGTTTGGGAGACCAGCACTTTGTAGTAGAAGGTGACCTTGAATACCTGTTCCTCCTTTCCTCTGCCTCAGTGTTTCGAATACAACCCAACACCACCAAGCCCAGTTTCTGAGGTATGGGGATAGAACCCAGGGCTTTGGAAATGCTAGTCAAGCTTTTACCAACTGAGCTTCATCACCAGCCCCAAGTCTTTTACTTGTTTATTTTTAAGATTTATTTAGTGTGTAGGGTATTTGAGTTGTCCTACAGATGAGACCACCAAAGTCAAAATGGATGGGGTCACCCAGAAAAGAATGAACATCCAGAAATAGGGTGGGAACCAGGAACCCAAACTTAGAGAGCACTGAACCTGAAGGAACCCTCAGTCAGCCAGAGTGGTTGGAAAGATTGGGTCCCTGGGCAGAGGGAGAAAGGAATGCCACAGAGCAGACCGGAAGTTCCTAGGAGGAGAAGATGCCAACAATATCAGAACTGCAGAGAACTCTGGAAGGGAAAGGAAGAGCCATCAGTTCAGCATGTGAGAGCTGATCCTGCTGGGGCAGCTTCCTTTCTGAGGCTGGGAAGGAGGCTAGATGGCATAATTGGAGCGTGGACAGAAAACACTGAGTAGAGACAACCTGAACTGGATTTATATGTATTTTGCTGGAAGGAAAGGAACAATAAAACAAGGCAATAAGATGACTGTTTAGGTTTTAAGAGGAAAATGGTGTGAAAGCCCCTCCCCCACCAACACGTACTCATTCTTCCTGTAACTAAATGTTCACTGTGGAAAACTGCAAAGCACATAAAGGATGGAAAAACACAGAAGTAATTTCTATTTATAACTGATGTGTTTCCTTCCAACATTTTTCTGTTAATTTTCCTCGTTTACCTTCATGATTTATTATAAATATATAATTCTGAAGTATACTTCTTTTTAGTCCACTAAATGCTGTTTCTTAAGCATTGAAGAGGTGTTAGTATAGTTTAGTTTTGAATTTTTTTTTGTTTTTTTTGCCATGCTGGGATCAAACCCAGTGCCTGGTGCATGCTAAGAAAGTGCTTCACCATTGGTCTATACTCCCAGCCTTCTTGTCTCTTTACAATATGAAAGATGCTTGGACCCAGCCTGGTAGCCCAGACTGCAATCTCTGCTACTGGGGAGGTTGAGGCAATAAAGATCACAAGTTCAAGGTTGGCCTGAGTTGCACAGTGAGTTCAAGGCTAGTCTGGGTAACTTAGAAAACCCAGTTTGAAAATAGAAAGTAGAAACCAGGTGGTGGTGGCACAGGCCTTTAATCCCAGCACTCAGGAAGCAGAGGCAGGCGGGTCTCTGAGTTTGAGGCCAGCCTGGTCTACAGAGTGAGTTCCAGGACAGCTAAGGCTACATCGAAGAACCCTGTCTCAAACCCCCCCCCAAAAAAAGATAAGAATAAGAAAGAAAAAAGCAGGAAGAGGCCCCCCGTAGGAACCCCCACCAAACACACAACACAAAGGAATAAAGATACTCGACGCCCAATCTG